TTCCTTATCCTACTTAAATAGTTACAATTTTGTATCCTAGAGGAAGGAATGGTGGATTGGTAAAAAAATGGGACTCATTTAATAAATAGGATACAGATATCTTGAATGTGGAATGCGGGCCCTTCAGACGAGGACGATATGGATTTAGGTTTGTTTTAAGACAAGAATGAAATATAGTGTTTGAGTGCCAAATAATGAAATATATGTAATTACTTAAAAGTAACAAATAATATAACCAACTATAGTATATGTATATATGAGAATTTTGAAAGTTTTTTGCCAATTACCTTGCTTGAACCTAGTGAATCGTGGAACAAGTCTAATTGTATATACTTTGTTCCATGGATGCTGTTAGTATCAAATATCACAGCGGACTCGGGCAAAAAGTTCAAACAAAAAACCATGAGGAGTTTCGGGAAAATTGGGAAAAAATGCAATTAAAAAAAAATTGAGAATTGCTTCATAATCTTGAGATTTTATTTGAATAGAGTGGGTTTATTTGTTAAAATCCTTCAGTTGTTGCACCTCCAGTAATGTTCTTTTTATTTGTCTATATTGTGTTCTTTACTCCTCTCTTCCATGGTGGGAATTAGAAAGGAAATTGTCATTGTTAGAGCTAAAAGCAAGCTGCCATTAACTCAAATAGGTGCAAAATTTGGACCAGGTACCAACTAGGGTAATTAAATCAAAAGATCATTCCTTTATTTTTAAATTAATATTTATTATATATTTTCAACAAAATTTGTTCATTTCAAAAGGCCAAGCACATATGGCATCTCTTTCCAGTAAAACTTTAGGCTTCATTTAAAAAACTCAAATTTTGAACTGATTTATAAAGGATTTTTTTTTTTTTAAGTCATGTGAATATAACCCATTCAGGGAATTTTTATTTGGATCAATGCTCTAATGGTACAAAAAAATGAGTGGAAATAGAAGAAAAAGGATTTAGTTTAACTCCAACTAAATTGAATTTTCTGAGAGCATTCTAAATGATTAAAGAAAGTATAGAGTTAAGTGGTTTCTTGGGTGGCATTATTGACCTGTTGAAATGTCATTCAAATGCATAGTTCACTGTTGCTGAACTTTTTTCTCTTTGTTTATGTATCACTGATAAGTTAATGGGTTTAAATTTTAATGTTTTTTCAGATTGTTGGATCTGCACATAGGTTTTCTTATGGCATCATTGACCCATTGAGGTAAGTGTCAATTTTCTACCCATAGTGTTAAAAAAACTGCATGTTATGTGATTTATTCACATAATTCTTTTCAATAACTTCCAACTGAAAAGATATTGCATTTATCTTTTGGGAGTTTTGCAAATTCACTTCTAGCTTTGGAATTTGTTTCCATTTTGACCTATGTCTTGGTGGCTTTGTATTACCTTGCATACATAAACTTGGGTTTACCCATCTGAACTCTTAGTTTTAAATTAAAGGTCAAAGTACCATTTTGGTCTCTCAACTTTCCACTTTGGCACCAAAATTATCCATCGACTTTAAAAAGTACCAAAATTATCCTTAAACTTTCATTTTCGATACCAAAATGGTCATTCCGTCAATTAAATGACAAGTGGCACGTTAAAATGCCACAAAGTCAATTCTTTTTTTGCTTGACTAATGACATAGAAAAAAAAAACACAGTTTGCCATCTTTTTTTATGAGGTGGCATTTTTATTTAATTTAAAATTTTTGATATCATTTTTTTCGATCCCACGTCAATCTCTTTTTCCTCTTTCACTTTCTCTCTCCTTCACCTTTCCTTTACCTCTAGTTTCGTTCTTTTGCTTATTTTGTGTTTTCTATTTGTATTTTCTGAGTTGATTCAATGGTTTTCGTGTTGATTATTTTCAAGATTAGATCTGCAGTTGGCTTGTATGTGATTTGGCTTGAATCGCTTTTTTTCTAGAAATTCTTTACTCTTTTTAATCTATGTTCCTTTTTATTAGTTGGGTTAGGAGATCTCGGCTTTGCTGTTTAGTATATTTGAGATTAGTTTCCATGTTATGTGATGAAACCCAGATCTGGGTTTGAGAAAAACCCAGATTTGGGTTTGAAAGAGGAAGAAGAAGGGAGAAGAGAGAGAAAGATAAAGAATAAGAAGAA